AGCGCAGACTGAATGAGAATTTCAGGACTTTTAGGGCCAGCTTCAACGCGTTCATAAACGTTCAAGCAAGCCAACTCTGAGGATGCAAGCCACTCGCGCTTGCAAAACGTCAGGAACAATTTCCATTTTACGACGGCCTAAAAACCCACTAGTTTCAACTTTAAAACTGTTTGTCATAAAAATGGTGCCCGTTATATAGATAAATAAGCAAGATTTCTTTGAGCAATTATTGTTGAAGAAGAAGAATGGTTTTTTTGCGCGAATCTGTGACCTTCTTGCGCTCGCATTGGAAACCCCTCGGACGGTTCGGATCGTTGATGAACCCAAACAGAATCCCACAAAAAGTCGTCCACCAACTGGTACCATACCAGTCGAAAAAGTTAATCTCCGCCAATCTATTACACGGTACCACCTACGGTGAGCTTTGTCTACTCATTTGTTGGATGTAGGCTTTTTATCGATGGCCGATGCTAATTGGGTTAAATCGGATGCTTTTCTTTGGTTCACCGTTCTTCTAATGTTGCCGGGCTGCAACATCAATGTTGATGTTTTCATTCGTCTTCCACAATTCAGTTTAGATTGCCATTTTTGCTCCTCTGGCTTCGATCGCCAACTGCCACTTCTTCGGGCTTAATGGACTCTTAGCGCAGTCTGTGTCTATAATTTTGACTAATTTCAATAATGTTGAAGGAGACAAATGTTCGGGACACGTCACCTGAAAGGTGTGGCCTCACAATTTACTATTTTTAGAAAAGTTTTCGGTTGTTAACTTGGGTAAACTGCTGGATCAGATTGACCAAGATGGTCGGCCAAGTATCTCGACCGAAACGTTGTTTCTGGCCTCGTCCGAATAAAGTGAAATTCCTCTTTAAGTATTCAATATTTGGTATTAAAATCAGCATCTATTAGCTTTCGAACGCATCGGACACTCCCTTGCACAAATAGCGCTAAAAAGGAACTGAAGGTTTAAGTATCACCAATTTTATGGTAATCAAGTGAATCGAGTGAAGAGCCTCTTAATGTGTTCGATATTTGACCAAGCCAGTGTGTGCTCGATTTGGGAACCCTCGGGCACGCCTCTGACCAAACAGGTGATATACCGGGTGTTGGGAGCGGAAGAGCTTAAAAAAGCGCATTTCCCAGCTGGGTTTATGGGCTTTCAAGAGCGACGTGACTTCAACTAGTGTGGGTGATTTATTATAGTTTTCCCAATCGCTTTGCCGTATTTTTTTGAAATTTAGGTTCCCGATAAAACCCCTGGATTTTTGGAATGCGCGTCTGAGAGCGATTTTTACCGAATCGAAGTTATCCCATATAAAATAATTCAGGTGCCATCAGGCCCTAATTTGAAAATTGTCCAGAGGAAACCCAGTGCTTGGATGCAGGTTGTGCAATCCGAATTTTAATCCAATTAACTTCCCTTGATGGCAACTTTAACCTACTATCGAATCCTTTTTAATAGAAGTTCACTGATGGGTTTAGAGCAAAAATGCCCCGATTGCATTTCCAGAAGCAGGTGGCTCTTCCACCGTTGGGAACGTTTCGAAAATGCCTACCTGAAAATGTCGGGGAAAGTTCTTGGAGCGCAACAGTTAGTCTGATTTTTCGAGCACAATTCCAAAAAGACACTACATTTCGGTTCGTCAACAAAGGCCCGAACACGTCTTCACACGCGTGATGTTTTCCTCGGCGCGAAGTTTCCAACGACCGTCTTCGTTTGCACCTTCGAGCTTAATGACTTAGCTGACCACGTGAAGCCACTAAAACAAAGTGTGAATTTTTCTTCCGCTGTGCCCATCTTTTTCCCTCCATCGGTCCGGGCCATGGGTGTTCTCTTTCGTTGCTTCATTGAAGAAACGCGCATAGTGTCGCTGGTATTGTTGCAACGCGATGAAGAAAGTGATACACTTAATTCGAGGATGATGGTAATTGCAGAAGAAGCCGCCTTACAGTTTTTTTGCGTAAATTGCGCGACGTTTTTCATGCAGGCGTTTTTCAAGAATCATTCCATAGGTTTATGGTGGTTTTAACTATGGAAAGCTGGAAGGAGCTGCAATTTTGAAAAGCTATTGAAGTTTCAGCGTGCGGCACATATAAAGCTGGTTTCCGTCTAGTCAAGGGCGGATCCAGGGGGAGTCATGGGGG